GTTGAGCAAGTTACTTAACCTCTGTTTGCCTTATTCTGCTGGAGAAGGAAATGGCAAACCACTCCAGTATCTTTGCCAAGAAAACTCCATGGACAGTATGGTCCACAGGGTCATGAAGAGACAGACACAACTGAATAAGTGAACAACAATAATAACAATATACATATATGTTTATTACCAGCAGTGTAGCTGCCTGACAGGTTTCTTCATCTTCATTCTCTCTTCCTATCCATCCAGTGCCAATCTATTCTTCATGTTGATATGATAGTGAATAGGAGCATAGACTTTAGAGCCAAAAGGGATGTTAGAAGTCATCTTAGCCCAACCCCTTTACTTTGAAGATCATGTTTACTATTCTAAAATATTTTTAGTATCTCTGTTGCCTAAATGTTGTTCTTATTCATCATTTAAGGTCTTCCATAATCTAGTACTAAAGTCTCTTTCTAGGCTTATGTCATAATATTCATTGCTGTGAACTTTAGGCTCCAGCTAACTTGGATTACTCTATGTACCCAGACATTCCTTACCCACTTTGGCTTCCATGCTTTTGCTTGCATTGTTTGTTATACTGAAAGTATAGTCCAGGTCAAATGTCTTCTCTTTTTTTAGTTATTTATTTTTATTTTTCAACATTCACTTCAATAAGATTTTGAGTTCTAAATTTTCTCCCCCACCCAAGAATGATATATAATCTAATACAGGCTCTACATATACATTTATATTAAACATATCACGTCATCTCCTTTATAAAACCTCTGACTCCCTCCCAGCTGACAACTATCTTCCCTTTAGACATCACTTAGCACTTATTTTCCAATCTTTGGATGCATTTATTATGTTAGTACTATGCATTATAATCATCTACATGAATCATGTCCCAGCTAAGGATGGGGATTGGGCAATTCCAAGACACAATGTTGGAGTATTTTCTGTGAGGAAGAGAGAAGGTCAATCTAGCTGGATTGTAGAGTGCAGGGAGGATATTAATATATAATTGGACAGGAGACATAAGCTGAGGTCAGTTTGGGAAGGTCTTTAAAAGACAAATGAAGAGTTTGTAGTTTGTTTTTATTTTAGGATCATATAAGGTAATATATGTAAAGCACTTTGCAAACTCTTAAGCACTATATAAATGCCAGTTATTATTATTGTTATTGTTATTATCATTACTATTATTATTATAACCTAGAGGCAAGCCACTGTTGTAAGAAGCCACTGAGTTTGAGACAGGGACACTGTCAGATCCTATGCTTAAGGAAAATCATTTTGGCAGCTGTATGAAGGATGAGTTAGCAGAGAGAGACTTGAAGCATAAACTGATTGAGAAGCTATTCCAAAGTCTAGGTAAGAGGTGATGTGGACCTGAATGAAGGTGATATCTTTGTGAGCAGAGTAAAGAGGTCTGATGTCAGAGATATGAAGGCATAAATGGTTAAGACTTGGCAACTGATTGGATATGTGAGGTGAAGAAGAATGATGAATTGAGGATAATGCTGAGGTTATGAATCTGTGAGAATTGAATGATGGTAATATTTTTGAGCAGAAATAGGAAAATTGGTTAAGACCAGTTTGGGGGTAGAGATAGTGCGTTATCTTTAGGATGTGTTGACTTTTTACGTATCTGGGACATGACATGTAATTCAGAATGTCCAGTAGTTGATCGCTGAAGCTCAAGAGAGAAAGAAGGGCTAGATATATTGATCTATAAGTCATTCGTGTTACTCTAGGCACTGGGCCTGGAGTCAGGAAGAGTTCAAATCCAGCCTCAGACATGTACTAGCTGTGTGACCCTGTTTACCTCAGTTTCCTTATCTGTAAAATGAACTGGAGAAGGAAATGGCAAACCATTCCAGTGTCTTTGCCAAGAAAATCCCAAATGGGGTCATGAAGAGTTAGACACCCACTACAGGTCATTTGCATAAAGATGATAATTAAATACATAGCAACTGATGAGGTCACTTCACTGAGAAGTTTATAAAGAGAAGAGATGTAGCTGAAGGAGGAAGCCTTGGAGAACACCTAATTAGAAGACATGGAGTAGGAGAAGAGCCAGGAAAAGAAGTTGATACAGTGTGGTCCAGCAGGTAGAAGGATAACCAGGAGATAGTGTCATAAAAATGTAGAGAGCAGAAAGTAGTAGGAGAGGGCCATTTGTAGTGTAAAATGCAACAGAAGGGTCAAGAAAGATGAGAGCTAAAAAAAGTCAATCAGATAAGCAATTAAGTGATCATAGAAGGTGAGAGAGGAGAAAATATGGGAAGATTAAATGGAGCAGAGGAAGTTTGGAATAGAGTTTGTATGAGATAGAAAATCAATTAGGGAGGAGTAAAAGGATTGCCTAGTTGTTATAGGGTCCAGTTGAGGTTAGATGACATAATTTGTAGTGTACCCAGTGAGTAAGATTGTGTGATTTCCTCCAGTCCAGTTCAGCAGTATGTGAATAAGAAGCAGGGTGGGGCAGGGAAGGGATAATTGGTGTGAGTGAATGAATTAGCAAATGAAAAGCATTTATTTAGTGTTTACTATGTGCCAAACACTGTACTAAGTACAAATTCGACATAGTCTTTGGCTGGGGGAGACAACACATCTAGGTGTGGGGTTAACAGAAGGTAAATAGTGCAATGGGACATCCTTCCCAAAGGCAAAGGTAGCAGTGATTTTAGTGGTTCTCAGAGAGAAAGATGTGGAAGAAGCGGGGGAGAGGGGGAGTGTTGAAATAGGAGAATGGACTCTACAATGGTCCCTGGGAGTGCAGAGCCAAGGGGTCTCTGATGGGAGTTATCTAGGCTGGACTTTGTGAAGGGATCAGCAACATTAGCACAAGGGGGCCAAGGGCTCCAAGAGTAGCGTGGAGTTTGAATGGTAGGTGCTTAATAAATGCTTATTGATTAATCTATATCTAAACTGGGTATTTCCTATAATACCTACCTAGTGCAGGGATATGCATATGATAGGTACTTAATCAATATGTTTAATGGATATATGAATGACTGTACTAAAGACTGAGATTTCAAAGATGTAGGGTTCTATCCTTCCCCTGTGACTTTTGCTTTGTGGCTTTTACATGGCTCTTTTAAAAACTAACATTAAAGTCTGAGAATGGTGAGCGCTAGCTAAGGACCTTCAGCTTCGGGGATCCCAGGTCAGTGTGGGGACTTCTTCCACTGCTGCAGATCCCAGCTCCTAAGTCTTGGAGACTTGATGTGGTTAAAGCATCATTCAGCCCATAGCCACCCTGATGCCGAGGCTCTCTGAACACAGCCAGGCTGAGCCATGAATCCATGACCTGCACTCTATCACTAGCTCCGTACTCAAAATCTTTCCCACTTTGAGTAGAATCTGTCAGATCTTATGGCCTCATGGCACAGACTTCAAGAATTCAAAACCATGTCAATAGCACAGTGAAACTCTGAATTGTCAAGCTAAGCAACACCTGCAGAGATAGTATGGTGTAGTGTGTAACCACCAAGTGGGAGGTCAGGAAGATCTCGGTTCAAATCCTGCCTCCCCATAATTAGCTTTGTGACCAAAGACAAGTTACTTAACGTCTCTCTGAGCCCATTTCCTTGGCTGGGAGAGACAACACATCTAAGTGTGGGGTGAACAGAAGGTAAGTTGTGCAATGGCACACCCATCCCAAAGGCAAAGGTAGCAGTGATTTCAGTGGTTCTCAGAGAGAAAGATGTGGAAGGAGTAGGGAGGGTTGAAGTGGGAGAGTAGGCTCTACAATCATCCAAGTGCCAAAGAAAATGAAGGTAATATAGGTAAGGTATTTAGCAAACTTTAAAGGGATTTATATCAGTTATTGTTGTTGATAATCATCCAGGTGACAAAAGGTCAAACATCTGAACCTAAGAATATTTTCTTCCTCTTAAATGTCTATAATCAGCATGAGTCTGTATCCAGCCCAGTAGAATCGCCTCACTTCTCTATGACCCACATCACTAGAATCCCTGAACTGTATTTAGAAAGGCGGTATGGTATGTTAATGGAAGAAGAAGGATTTGTTTTTATGAGAACAGGCCTGTTGGGTCATTTACATAAAAAGAGTCACAGCCCCTTCCCCTTAACAGTAGGGTCATACAACTTGACCTTTATTTCTCTCAGCTTCTCTAAGTGGAAACTATTTTTTTTAATCAAAATTTTCCTTTGGGTTTTTTTTTTGAAGGTCTAAATGATTTGAGGTTGATTGGCTTCTCTATAAAGCCCTGCCATTATTAATCAAATACCTCTTGGATTCTAGGCCAAGCTCTATTTTGGTTCAAAAGAAAAAAACTTGGATTTAAAGCAGTAACATATGATATGGAAACTCAATGGAAGGAAACACCAAGATGTCTGCTTCCCTTTCCATAAATATAAGTATAAATGTTACTGAATCTTAACAAAAGGATGATAAAAATGCCAACAATGGAGCAATGACAGGTGCCTGTTTTTACCTAAATTATGTTTGAAAGAAGCAATCAAGATAAACTTTTTGGTATTTTCAATGATGTCATCAATTAGTACAAATTACTAATCCTCTCTGTGAGGCGTTAAAAAATTCTTATCAATTGGTGACCTTGGTCAAGTCGCTTAACTTCCCTAGGAATGAAGGGGTTAGACTAAATGGCCTCTCAGCTCCCTTACAACTTTAAACCTACAATGCTTTGATCTTATTGTAGAAAATAGTATGCTCACTCAGTGTTTGGCTGTTAGAGACTGACGCCTGAGTAGGGGTGAGAGTGCTGGTGGCACTGACCATTACTTTTCCCCTGTTAGAGCAGCAGAATCAGTCATTCTGTTATTCACACATCAGACAAATTTCTGAAACCTTGCGATTAAAACTCTAGCGGTGCAAAATAACTCCAGGGAGGCTGTTGAATTTCCCTGAAGCCTTTTTGGAGTAGCAGTTGTAGCTGTGCAAATTTTAAAATAGGAGAGTGACTCTGTGAGCCAGCCTTCTGAATTCATGAGTTTCAAAGACACTCATTAAATTTGTATTTCTTTTTTCTTTGTGGCAGACTCATCCTGCATGGAAAAACTACTTTCGAAAGACTGGAAGGAGAAAATGGAAAGATTAAATGCCAGTGAGCTTCTTGGAGAAATTAAAGGTAGGAGATGCAAAATATCAAATGTACCAATGCAGGTATGTTGTTGTGGTTATTTGAATACAAGGAAATGTTTGTCTTGGGCTCAGTCAAGTCAACAAGCATTGAGTAAGGAACCTACTATGTGCCAGGCAATGTACTAATATTAGCACTGAGGATACAAAGAAAGGAAAAAAATTACTTGCCCTCAGGGAACTCACAATCTAATGGAGTGTGAGCCCATTCTAATGGGCTAATTCATTACCCCACAAGCTCATAAGTCATATTTGTTAAGGGTCTTTTGTATAACAGAAAACTCTTGAATATTGGGACTAAAAATGACAGACACTGAGCTATAAACATTTTACTCACATGTTTGTTGATTGATACATGTTTGTACTAATATCTTTGTTGATTTACTCAGTGCAAGAGTTATTGTTCGTGAAATTAGGAAATGAAGAGACTGCTAGACATAGAATCAGAAGGATTTTGCTTCTGGACACTTGTTAGCTCTTTGATGTTGGGAAATTCACTTTAAATTCTCTGATGCTCAGTTCTTATCTATAAAATGAGGATAGTATTATCTGCAGTATCTACCCCACATGATTGTGGTGAAACTCAAGGTGATGGGCAGAAAGTGTCTTACGTACAATATGACTGCTAGCTATTATTGGATGGCACAGTGGGAAAAGTTCTGGCTTTGGTCAGAGGCCCTGAATTGGAATCCTGGATTGACCACTTACTGCCTGTGTGACCATGGATAGATCAATTCACAGGGGCCTCTGTTTCTTCAACTAGAAAAAATAAGGAAGTTGGACTAGATGACTTTTCAGGTTCTTTTCCAGTGCCAAATCTATGATTTCATGATTCTTCTGTCTCATAGAGTGGAAAGAGTGCTGAATTTAAAATCAGAGAACCTGAGTTCTAATCCTGGCTCCGCTTATTATTATTTTTATAGGCAAAGCACTTCCCTTCTCTGTACCTTGTTTCTTCATCTGTATAATGAAAGAGTTGGACAAGATGGCCTCCAAGATCCTTTCCATTTTGAAATCCACGACCCTATGATCACCATAGTCACTTCTGAATCAAAATCTTAATGATCCTTTGCCCAAACTCAACAGTAGAATTTGTTAGTTAATATGATTCCATTGACTTAATTTTTGAATCAGAGTTTTTAGCTATTGATTTTTGTTTAAATGAGGTAAATGATTGCACCCCTAAATAGAAGATATTTAGGAAGTGATAATGAAACAACTAACAAGATTTATTAAATCTTATTGGATTTAGATAAGACAAAGTCATAATTTTGGAGCTGGAAGTGATCTTGATGTCCCTTTCCCCACCTTCCCACTATTTTATAGCACAAAAAGTATGGTCTTTCCCAGATTCACATAGTTAATATGTGTCTGATGTGAGATTGAAAATTTATGAGACAAAGTTCAGGGGCCTCATGTCTTCAGGCAGGTGAATATCTCTATCTTTTAAGACGTATTTTTTTTTCCCATTTCAGACTGCTCAAGGCTCATTGCTGCATGGGTACCACTAACAATTTTTTTCAAGGAAGTTTTACTGATACCTTTTTTTTTAATATATCAATAAACCTCTACTAGAATTCTTCTTCCTTTTAACAACAATAACAAAACAAAAAACAAAACCACAAACACAGCTAAACAAAATAAATCATTAATCTGATAGCATATGCAACATTCTATACCTGCAGTTCACTCCCTTTCTATCAAGTTTTACCATCTGTCCTCTGGAACTAAAATGATTTGTTGAGAGGGTCAAATGAGATAATATTTATAAAGTGCTTAGCACAGTACCTGGCATACAGTAGGCACTTAATAAATGCTTGTGGCCTTCCTTTCTTTTTCCCTCCCCATTGCAATTAATCTGAATTCTGATGTCTTTTAGTATTATTATCATTCATGTTATTTTGATCCTGCTTTCTTCATTCTGAATTGGTTCATACAAGTTGTTCCATATTTTTTGTAATTCCTCATGTAATTTTTTGGGGTACAATAATATTCCATTCCATTCATACCACAATTTGTTTAACCATTCCTCAGCTGGTAGTTACCAATTTTATCTTTCTATTTTTTACTATCACAAAAAATGTTACTGTGAATATTTAGTCATATATGGAGCCTTTCTTTTTGTCTTCGACTTCACTGTGGTATATTCCCAGTAGTGAGATCAGTGGGTTAAGGGGTATGAACAGTTTAGTGACTTACTTGGCAGAATTTCAAATTGTTCTTTCAGAACATTTGGACCAATTAACAGCCTCACCAAAAGTGTGTTAGTTTGATATATTTCCCTGGGTACTTCTTTTCCATGAAGTAAATCCAGCTGATTTGATTGTGATAGGAAGATTGTACCTGACCATGGCTTTCATCCCTGATATATAGTATTTGTGGGCTCTGAGTCAGCATGAGCCTTAACACTGGAGCAACAAAGACCACTATAAACACCTCTATTCACCCCAATGATGACCTAAGGGGAGAACTATCTCAGCCTCAAAACCTCAGAATAACAATCACACCCTACCACCCACCTCAATTGGTTCTTTGCTGTTCACTCAATCTACTTACTTTTAAACAATTATTGATTTTTTTATCATTTTCTTTTCCAAGTACATTGTTCCCCCTTCCCTACCCAAAGGGCCAACCTTATAACAAAGAGTAAAAGAGAGAAAGTAAAAAGCATTTCAGCCAAAGTAACCAACATATCAACTGATTCTGACAGGAAGAAGGCAAGGTGCATTTTCTCATATCTTTTTGGGGGGCCCAAGTTTGGTCATTATAATTGTGCATTGTTCAGTTTTATTGTAGTAGTTATTCTTTCCATTTTCATTTCCATTATAGTTGTCATATGTACGTGTATATATATATGTGTGTGATACACACACACACATATATACATACACACACACACACATATATATATATATATTTAGATTTATGTATAGTTTGCCTGGTTCTGCTTACTGCATTTTGCCTTTGTCTTTCTGTCTTTCCAACTTCTTTGTTTCTTCATAGTCATTATTTCTTATGGTAGAAAAATACTCTCTTATAGCCATGCATCACAGTTTGTTTAGACATTCCCCGAATGATGGGAATGTACTTTGTTTCCAATGTGCTTTGCTACCATAAAAGGACTGCTATGAATTTTTGTTGTATCATAGACCCTGGATTTTATCTTTAACCAGCTTGAAGTATTTGCCCAGCAATGAGAGGGCCGACCTATTCGCTCTTACTCCATGTGACATCCATGGATCTGGTTGAAGATACATCAGCCTCCTCCCTGCTACCTCGTTTCCTTAAAAACCAGGAAACCAGATGACATGGTGGGTAGAGCAGTAGACCTGGAGCCAAGGAAGACCTGAGTTCAAATTTGGCTTCAAACACAAAAACCATGTAAATGTTAGTTATTATAATAATGACAATTATTATTATATATTCTAGAGCAATGGTTCATAACTTTTCAAATAGCAAGACTATTTTTAAACACCCCCAAATTTCACGGACATCTGCAGGGTAACAGTACTGTTATCAATTGACAGAGAAAATTTGTGATGAAAAGTTACAGTGAATTCAGTAAGGTTTTTGAAATGAATTTGTACTTTATTCATCACAATTACATTTATTTTAAAAATAGTAAAACATACATGTACAAGACAAATTATTCAGTCTGCAGAAAGGTTAGTTGCTTATTCCACATTTATGCCTGGCCCCTTGCAACAATTCCATGCTTCCTGGGTATTGGAAGCCCAGAGACTGGGCAGCAGCAGCCTACTGGGATTGCCCGCGGAATCCTCCTCCTCTCTGTTTATCATTTCTCTACAGGATCATTCCTGCCTGTACCCTCCTCTTCTGCCTCTGAGCTCTCCGTGCCCTCTTCTCCTTACTGTACTGGCAAAGATTGTCTAGGAATGTTGATTCTAGAACTTTAGTGTGCGTCTCTTCCAGGATACAGTCACTGAGCCCAGAAGTTATTTTTTCTATATCAGCCTCTTGAAACTACCTAGGCTCATTTGCTCTTATTCATTTGCTCCCAGGGGTGATGAAGAACCCTTCTCTGCATTATCCTCATCATAATAGCTTCTGTGTCTATGATGTCCTTTCAATTATCCTTTACCAGCAGATAGCAGTCATTGTCAGTAGCATCATTGTCAAATTTATGGGGAGTGAGCACTACATATTTAAAGGGAGGAACATTAAGGCAAAGTTGGTAGAGGTTCGGCCTTTAAGTTGGAAAAACCTGGGTTTCAATCCTTCCTTTGTTTATACTAGCTGTGTGACTGCGAGTGGGTCATTTAACCTCTCAGTGGCCTAGACAACCCTCTTAACATTATGGATTGTTGATCTGCATTGATAGAAGGAATTTCTAACCAGAAATGCCCCATACCTCTTAAGTAACACAGGTCTGGCCTAAAATAAATGGAAAAGGGGAAAGGAGGTCCTATTGATTTGAGCACTTAGTGAAACAAAAAAGCTTTATTTTTCAAACTATCAATTCAGTTCCAATTTAATAAGCATTTATGACCTATCGTAGGCAGAGAATAGAGACTCTTCTCTTTCCTTATCTATAAAATGGGGATAATAATATTGTGAATGAAGTACTTTACAAACATTCAAAATCTAGAAGATGTGAGTTATTATAATGATGAGCAGAGAGCTAGAGTTTTTGTTGCTTACACTCTTGGTGTAGAAACTCCCTTCCACAATGCAGATTGGCAACTTGCCTGTGAGTTGATAGGTTTAGGGAGTTTCTTGGGGTCACTGAGAGGTGAAATTACTTGTCATAGAACTGTTTTGTCTCAGAAGCAAGACTTGGCCCTGGACCTTCTTGGCTTCAAGGCTATTTTAATATGACTAGTATGCATGTTGCCTCTTATAATTAATAATAGTAATAATCTCTTAGCATTTCCTCACACTTAGGACTTTCTAAATGTGTAATAGTCTCCAGTATATGATACTATAGTTGTTATGTACTGAATAGCCAGTGAGATCCAAGTCAATGTA